ATAAATTAAGGAAAAATGATTGATTTGAAAATTTTGTAGTTGTAACCTAGCCGTAACCTAGTTAAATAAAAGACGTTCAAAAATTATTTATTTTCCGGAATGATTGAAGAATTCTTGAGTGATTCATTTGAGATTATGAACCAACTGTAGTAACGTTGCTAGTAAAATAAGATCAGATTTAGCTTGGTTAATAATTGAAAAAAATTGCAACGCTTCAGGAGACTTTGATCTTCTGCAGGTCTCATAAATTTGATCTATAATATTTAACAGTGATGCAAACTAATCAACCCATCAAACATAATAATCTAAATATTTATACTACTAATGGCGTAAGCAAAATGAATTCCTTTTAGTGCCTATATGTTAAGTGAGTAATTTTAACTTTGGTAGAAAAACTGTTTTCGGTCAAGAAACAACAATTATTGCGAAGTAATCATTGGAGTTGGTGAGCGGCAGCTAACAGGGGAGTTAGCTCACTAGTTTTGCCATGTGAATTTCACTCACTAAATATGTAGTCTCACTGCAACCAATTTTACTTTTCAGACGATTTTTCACTTGAACGAAATTTTTAATCGGAAATTAGCAGTTGTTGTTGTTGTTGTTACTTTACGTTGCACTAGAGCTGCACAATGGGCTATTGGCGACGGTCTGGGAAACATCCCGGAGGATGATCCGAAGACATGCCATCACAATTTTGATCCTCTGCGGAGGGGATGGCACCCCCGCTTCGGTAGCCCGACGACCTGCGCGCGAAGTCGAGCACTTTACGGTAGCACAGTTTAACGAGGACCAATACCGCACACCCTCGGTCCCGTCCCTACGCAGACTGATCCAAGTGGTCACCCACCCGCACACTGACCGTAGCCAGTGATGCTTGACTTCGGTGATCTGCTGGGAACCGTGTCTTAACGATCAGTCCCCTGCGGGACGGAAATTAACAGTCAAAATATTCTCTAGTAAAATATTCATAATATTCTAAAACGAAATATTGTCTTATTAAAACTAGATCTCTAGAAAACTTGTCATCCTATCACGAATATTTTTTTTTATCTTTTTATTTTCCCCATTTTTGAAGAGAAAAAAAAAGATTTATAAGTTTGACTTACAAGTGATTCAACCTTCCAAGCGACTGCTGCCATTTGAATCCCTCGCATTATTCAATGCTCATTTTAAACAATCATTCATAAATCTGTTATGCATTTTTACTTAAGGGGAAAAAATTATATACTTTTTAACTTAACATAGTAAAAATCTTATAACATTTATTTAAATACCTGGAAAAAAAATTAAAGTTCATTTTAAACATTAAAAATAATTTCTTAACTGCGCATATTCAGCGTGTATAGATAATATAATATAATATAATATATATATATATATATATATATATATAATTTCTGAATAGATAAATAATAGTTCGGATGGGACCACTAAAACCGGGTGTTATTCCTGGTTTATTTTAGCGAGATCACACTGTTAAGAGATAATTATTTTTGAAAAAAATTACATAAATACCTGTCAGAGAGAGGGTTGAGAAAATCTGTTCTGAGGAACCTCTTATGCCTGGGTCCGCATCTTCCACCCGTCAACAAAAGGAAGATAAATAAGGAAGAGAATATCGCGGAGGAGATGAAGGAACGCATTTTTCGTCGCCCAAACAGCAGACGATAATTGAGTAGTGGCCAATCCACTAGGGATAAGCTTCTGTTTTGGTCGGAGGAAGGAAATGGTATGCAGAAGTGAGCAATTGGATACTTTTATAAAGGGAGATAGGAGGGCGCTTCTGCCGATGCTCGATTTTTCTAGATGAGAGGCCGCAACTGTTCTACGGATTCCTAGGTCACATGGCTCGACTGACCTTTACACACTTTTAGACCGGATGGCATTTTTTTTTATCTGTCTAATACTGCGCAGAAATGATTTGCTTGATTGCTTCTATGAAAATACTGTTTCCTACTTATGGTGATATGAAGTCTATGAAAGAAACATTTATTTTTAAAATATTCTTTACATTTAGGAATTTCTCCTGAAATATAATGGCTAAAACTACATGAACATTAATCATTCTAATCTATTTTATTTTATAACAGTCGGTGAACAGCCGACGCACTTTTGGGTTCACGCCTACCAATGTTCACCTCCGTAGCCTTGTAATTTAAAACTCAATCCAGAAGACAAAGAAACTCGTGGATCAGTACCCATAGAGGTATGTATTGTTATGGAAACAGGGAGGACTTTGTGACCCAACTGATTTAACGTGCATCAGTTATAATTTTCTACGCGGGAGTCTTCGTCCGTCGGAATCGAACTCATGACCTCTTGGACATGGGCCCAGCGCCCTACCAATCAGGCAGTTGCCCAATTTTACCTTAATTCAGGTCCGGTCCTGAGTGTTCGCAGAAGCAGATTCAATCATCAAATAATTTCTAGACAACCTAATAGAGCTGTGGTCGTGATGGCTCAGGAGATCAAGCGTTTGCCGTCCAATGAGAGGAACCGTGTTCGAATCCCAGCAATGGCTGGTCGATACGAATTCCGCACCCGGCTGAAGTAAATTATCCGCAGCTGGTGCTGACGTGAAATATCCTCAGTGGTTGTCGGATCGTGGGGTAAGGTCCCCTTGACGTCACACTAACCGTGAGAAGTTTTCTGATTTTCCTCTCCACGTAACGAAAATACAGGTTAGTTCCATCAAATGTCCCATACTGAAGGTGATATTTCTCCCAATACTTCTTCCAGGAAATTCTTTGTCTTCTGGATTGGGTTCAAAATGACAAGACTGCGGAGTTGAACGCTAGTAGTCGTAAACCCAAAATATTGCGTTGGCTATTCGACGACGGTTATAAAATAAAATGGAATGTCACTGAGCCGTAACCTAGTTAAACTATTTGTGTCAATATTGACGTTTTTACATTTAAGAGAAATTAAAAGAAATTTTATGAAGTAATTTTTTTTGCCTTATGTTTTCTTACAATAACTGAAGAAAATATCTATGAAGTTAAACAAAATTTTCTGGAATAAGTTTTAATTAATAACATAAACATCATTTTAAAATTCAAGAGAGATTCTTTTAAAATTACGCAACATATGAGTATTTAAAGTAGTCTTTTCATACTATGCATGCGTGGGAAACATTTTTTTAAAAATTCATAGTTTTGTTATGAATCCGATTTCGCAACTAATGAAGAAAGTCCGATTCTGAAATATAAAAAATTTCCAGCAATTTTCTTAGTAGCTTTTAAAAAAAAGCTCTAAATTATAAGGGATTTACCACAAATTCCACAATTTTGTATCTAAAAACAGATTATAATAATAAGAAGTGATAAGATCCTTCAATGATTTTCCAAGCATCAAAATGTGATGATATAAGGAAAGAAAACGTGTGAAATATAAGATATTTTAATAAGGAGATGTTCCACTATATTGAGGTGTTATTTTTAATAAATCTTGTTCAATGGAACAAAATAAAACTAGTGGAAAACTCTTTACCATTCAGAGCATTCTTTTAAAATTTATAAAAACTACTTAGAAAACTGCTGAAAACTTTTTCAATTTTCGAGATATTCAAATCGAACTTTTTCATAAGTAACCAGATACGATTCAAAACAAGATTATAAAAAAAAAAATGTAAATGTCTTCTACGCATTAGCAGCATAAAAGGATTACTTTAAATGCTCTTTTCTAACGAATTGTTTTCAAATTTTGAAATAATACATTTAAGATTAAGTTAAAAATTACTCCAAAAGTTTTGTTTGATTTTATTGAAAATTTTTTCATTTATAAAACGAAAATGTTGGACCAAAAAGGTATTTTTTCATATAAATGTTCATATTTCTATGGATATTTAAGCTAGGTTAACGCAATTTTGCGCAGTTCATCTCATATCAAAATAATGTATAGATGCTGAAAGCTTATTGCTGTATCTTTTGGCACAGGATATTCAAGAAGACTCCTTTTTGTTAGCAATTTATTTCCGGATCTCAAACCTCTAAAAGTTTTAAACTTTATTGATATGTATGAACAAGTTTACATACACAGTAGTAAAATAATCTTTAACTGTTTACTGAGAAGTTTTAAAAAAAATTAAAAATTGAAAGGGTCTCTTCCATTGTTGTCGGTAGTGTATTTATCAGTTATCATTTTTAGTGTACTTATCAGTTATCATAAGTTTTTTTTTAAAAAAAAGTTCTTTTCATGGAAGCAATTAATCCTTTCTAAACTTTCGAAAGATTCTGCAAATAGCTATCTATGCCTCTCGGTAGCTTTAAACGAAGAAATCATCATCTTTCAGTTTTACAGTTTGAATTGTAATAAGGAAACATAATTTCTATCAAAAGTTTCTGTTGATGCGGCAAGATACTTTTTTTTTATGTTTTAGCTCCATGTGCTTTCCAAAACGCATGTTTTTCTCCACGAAAAAAAAATTAAAGAAAGAAACGTGAGTAGGAAAACCCCGATTTTATTAAGTGTTTTCTGAGAATATTAAGATAAGAAACTGATGATAGATTCAGTATTCTCTGATAAGAAATGAATTTAACTTTGTTAGAGTTTTGAAAAGAATTACATCGATGAGCTTTTAACTCAGAACACAGCTCGAAATAAGTACTATGTAACAGTGCTCAAAAAAAGGATTCCCTCCTGATTACTTTCGGTCTAATGATCAGATCTTCACGTTCTAGGACTCAAACTTAATGACTTGAAATGATAACCTGAAAAATGTTAATTAATAAGTGCAGGCGATATATTAAGGTACGAAATTTGACACAAAAACGTACTTTCTCTGAATATACATATTCTTTTTTCCAACGGATTTGGACTTCTAAAAACCAAAATATAAGGCGTGGCCGCAATCTGGGAAATACGGTCTCCTTAGTTAGGTCAGAAAAGCGATTCAAAGTTTGGATCCCTTAATGTTAATTTTACTTTTTGCGTAGTTCCTTGAAAACATTTTAAGAAAACTGAACAATTTCTGCACACAGTTATAAAATTTATTTATCCAATGATAGTTCCATGCAAAAAATAGATTTCAGTAAATATTTATTATTTTTTATTATTTTATTAAATAATAGTCGAAAAAAATTTGAACTGTTACAATTTGAATATACAAAAATTTGAATATACTATTTCTTACATCATTTAAAAGTTTGTAAGTTGAAATGGCAAAAGAAAAAATTTGAGCGACATTTTTTAAATAGTCGCCGAGAAATCAAATTTTAAATATCTCAGAAATTGCCTTGACATTCAATTTCTCAAGAACTATTCAACCGATTTTGCTCCGATTTTGTATTATGCTACGTAAAATTATATGCTTTAAAATAATGTAAAAAATTTTATATCTTAAAATTCAAATTTCTTTTCGACCATTCTTAAATAAAATAAGAAAAAATAATAAATATTTGCTAAAAGTCGTTATTTTTATTACTTGGAATTGTCTTTGAATTAGCAAATTTTATAATTGTGGTCAAAACATTTTCATTCCACTTAAAAAGTTATTGAGGTATAGATATATACCCAAAAATTAAAATTGCGTTACGGGATTCGAACTTCGGAGCACTTTTCTGACCAAACTATTGGGACTATATTTCCATATTTGCCAAAAAGATATTGAAAGCTCTTTATACAATGGTCTTCGACTTTTTTTCCATACAAATTCATCAACCATCGCTTATACAATTGTACAAAACGCGTCTGCAGTCCCGCAAATAGCCCAAACAAAAATTGGCCAACTTCCAATCACAGCGGATTATTATTGTTTTTTGTTTTGCTACCGGCCGAATAAAAACGTGATAAAACAAAACGTATCGCCGAATTCTGCTATGACCGAGTTTACTCGGGATTATAAATATTTACTATCTATACATACCCGAGTTAATTCGGAATAATCAAGGAAGCGGTTAATAAGCTAAAGAAAATACATTTATTCCTGCTTAGATTCTTCGATTTAAGCTTCGATTTAAAACAAGATGACTTCATATTTTGTTTCTCACATTTCGTGTGAAACGTGTTTATCATAAACACAGCAGCAGATAATATGAACTGAAAGAGATATTCAACGATTCAGCAGTTATTTTTTTTTTCCTTTTTCTTTGTTTTTTTTTAAACTGATCTCTTCTACAAATTCTTTATTATCTTCAGTTCATTTTATTAAGTTTTTTGAATGTTTCTGTCATTTCTTATTTTCTTCTACTTGTTATTTATTTTTCCTAAAATAACACATTTTAGATGAGTAGTTGTAATTTCGCAACGAATGGAGAAAAAAAAAACTACGACTGAATAAATGTATTTTTATCGTTTTAATGAAAAATAGTAATTTTATATAAATAAAAATAGTTATTTCGTGCAATAAAAATTTCAATTTTATGCAATAAAAATAGTAATTTTGTGCGACATAAATCGCAATTTTATGCAATAACAATAACAATTTTACTCAATAACAATAACAGTTTTATGCAATAAAAATAGTAATTTTGTGCGACATAAATCGTAATTTTATGCAATATCAGTAACAATTTTATGTAAGGAAAAAAATAAATTTTTTAAAAATCTATTAAAAAATTAACCTTTCTTAAAAACTATACTTTGAACAAACTGTTTAATGCACAGTGCGCAAAATAAAAAAGGAATCACCCTAAATAACTTTTGATGTAATGAACGGATCTTCACGTTCTAGGAAGCAATCTTAATGGTTCAAGGGGGTGACCTTAAATGTGTTAGACCAGGAGTTTCTAACTTACATGAGACCGGGGGGCCGCAATTAAAGACACCAGTCAAATGGCGGGCCGCAACTTCATCAAA